CCAGTAGTATCCGAACGAAGGTTTTCCGAATCATCATCTCAGTCTAGTGGAACTTCTGCTCTTGCAGAAATGTTAGGTGATGACTTTGGATTAGGTTCTCCAATAGCTGTATCACTATTATTAGGTCAGAAAGACCCCTACTTCGTGAGACAGAAGGTAGTCACAATAATAATCCAATATTAATTGAGAGTAAAACACAGAAAAAGCGTGTTAGTGATGCTAGTAATAAGTCATCAAGTAAGAAAGCAAGAAAGCAGGTTAAAAAAGAAGATTCACCTACATTAAAAAAACTTATAAGCGAATTGACTACTGATGCTTCTGAAATCTCAAAAGTTAATGTAACATATAATAAAAATGCTATGAATTTTTTACAGCTCAATGATAATATTACTCATGTAGAATCCAAAAATGAAAGCACAAATCAGGAACTCATTCAGTGTTATTACTCCTTTGGGGATAGTTTATCAATGCGCATAAATTATTATAAAAATTTGAAACATGGAGACTTAGCATCCCAAGCATTAGTTAATGAAGAGGTTCGGGAACAAATTGGTGAAAAAATTTCTAATGATACTCTTCGTAAAAGAACCGAAAAGGCACGGAAAATATATGCTCTTTTTAATAGTATTTTTAAAGATAAGGGAAAAGAAATGATAGTTCATATTAAAACATTTTCAGCATCATCTATATCAAAATTAAGTTGGGAAGAGATTGAATACATAATAGCCAGGATAATTCATTCTAATCAATAAGTGTTTTAGTATCACGTGATTACTGCGCCTGTGAACTCGAGTTCACACTTAATGTCAAACAAATCAAAAATAATTATTATAATTTGAGTTACGGAATATTTATTTGTATATCTTATAAATAATAACAGGTGTTGAAATTCCATACACGAGAGTTTTTACCTATGCTGTAAATGATCACAAACATAAATACCACCCATTACAGGTTTGTATGTATAAAAAATTAGAACACGTACGTACGTACCAGTATATTATTTTTTTTCTGCTAATATATATGGGTGAAAAATATACATATATATTTTAACAATAATTCTCAAATGATTAATAAAAATAAATCTGAATTAGCGATAATGATTAACAAAATTTATTGTTATCGTTGTACGTACATACGTACATAATTTGTCCACGTAAAATTTATCTGTATTACCTTGCAAAGCTTATGCATAGTTTATTGTGAGACGGGGCACAGGCATATGATGCCACATATTACAGGTTTGTACATATAATAAAAAAATTAGCCACATTATATTTTTTCTGTTAATATATAACAATGAGAGAATATAGTATACTTACAAATAAAAACAAACAAAATTACTTCGAAAAGTGGCATATCTTTAGAGGCTGGATGCACGGGTGTAAGGTCTGTGACGAATGCAATCACCATTCACATCTATATTGCAAAACATGCAAAAAAGTAGCGGACGGAATATATAAGCAATGTGAATGTGAAAATTCTCGAATAATTTAAATAGTGATATGTAGTTACTGTAAACAAAATTTATTCATAAACGTGTTAGAATAAATTCCGCATGTAAATTTATCTGTACAACCTTATCGTTATTTTGTGAGACGGGCATAAAATCAAATATTTATTTATAGAATAAAATGGAAGGTCAGAAATTCCACATGCATATATGGTTGTAGCAGAATCTCAGAATGTCCTAAACTAAATTCGGTGAATATCATTGTAATAACTTGTTAGTATGGTGGCGTAATTATCGTTAAGTGCACAATTTCTATTTTAAGGTTAAATAAAGCAGGTTTTGAAAAGATATAAATCTGTTGAAAATAAATACGTTTTCGACACCATACTAAAAATGGTTTTTTAGCATGTTCTTTTTATAACCAACTCTTCCGTGATGAATGAATCAAGTAATGCTTACACGTTTTCTCGACAAAATGTTCACAGCGAAAAAGTGATGATATCAAAAGTATAAAAGTTTTTTTTTCAGATGTATGGATGTAAATAATTTTTTCTAAAACAAAAAAATGCTTATTATACTTTATATACAAGAATTACTTGATATACAAGAACTTGGGATACCAGAATTTTTTCGCTTTATTGAAGAAACGTCAAAGGCAATGGGGGATAGATTCGAATGGTTTTGCGTTGAGTTGTTGAGGAGATACTTTGAAAGATTAGGCATTAAAGTTACACACACCGGGTAAGTTTTTCTTACGGAGTCTTGTAGAGTCACTATGTATCCTAAGTTACGCTGTCACACATATGTAAATCATCTGAAGAATTGAAAGCACATCGTGGCCAATGTTTTGACATTGAACGTTCTTCTCAGTTATATGTGTCTTCGTGGGCCTTTTGGCGCGAGATTAATGATGAATAAGATACATGCTGGCGCCAGCTATATGTGACTATGAAACATATACTCATTTTAGTTATCAATTTAGAGGACCAAACGATAAAGGCCGGGATATTATTATTGAAATTTGTAGATATAAAGGCGTTATCCAATGCAAAGCTTGGTTTGCAAAATATATATGTATGTTGATTATTAATTAAAAATGCATAATTACTGGTTTAATATTAAATAATTTATTTATAGCTCGTAAGGAAGTTGATGAATTTAGATCAGTGGTGGGTGATGGCGGATTTGATTTTGGGGTTGTTGTTGGTGTTTTAGAAGAAAAAATTTCGGATGAAGCTTATACCTCGGCTGAAAAATCAGAACATGATATTATCATCACAACTTATAGAAATATGTGCCGAAATATCAAAAACTTAATCGCTGGTCGATTAATTCAAGAATTTCGTGCCTTAGAAGATAGACGTAGGTTCTTAGAAGATAGACGTAGATTTTTAGAAGTTAGACATAGATTCTTAGAAGATAGATGTAAAAAATTTAAGTTAAATTATAAATTCATTTTCATTTCTTTTTCTGTAACTTTTCTGCTTATTTCGTATGTATTTTTACTTTATATGTTTTTATTTAATTGACGGTACTATCATGTTCTGATATTTCATCCGGGTGTAAATATTATATTTTCTATTTTTTTTCGTTCTTTTTTTTTTCTCTTTCTTTCTCTTTTTTTCTTATTTTCTTTTACCCTCTTTTCCTTTTCTATTAATAAAGATTTTTTCACCAATGCATGTATAAAATACTGTATCAGTGAAATTGCATGAAGATAATGATCTATTTTAATTTTCTATTTGTGGTCGATGCAAATTCGAGTTTAAGTAAATGCCAAATAAAATGTACTTCGCACTATTCTTTGCAGTATAAATAAAGCTGGCCCTGGTGGCCGATTTCGCATACATAATCGTGTTTACTTTTGCATGTATATTTCGTAATTTTATTATATTGTACGAGTGTCGATGTCACGCATATGATCAGAATTTTATCTAAATTTTTTAGCAAAGTGAATTCTTTGTGAACCGAGTTCACGAAGTGATTGATATTTTTTCAAGTATTCATGTCACAATTTTTATTAACTTAAGCTTTTGAATATATCTCTATCTTATATAGAAACAATGGCAAACACACAGGCCCAAAGGGGCGAATCTAAAGATTCATCTAAAATCGATTTATTAGAACAGATTTCCAAGCTTACAGCCGAGAATACCAAACTTAAAAAAGAGAAAGCTGAATTTATGGCTAGAATAATGGAATTAGAACAAAATGATGAAAAAGCGAAATTAAGAGATACTGAGCTCATGGAACTAGAACGGGCGACAAAAGAAAAGAAAAACGATTTGCAAAATTGGAACAGAAGCAGACCCAGGTTATCACTAATGAACAGGAAGCATCTCCTACAAAAGATATTCCCCCATCCTCAGCTTGTTCAGAATTACCAGTAATTTTTCAATCATCCACTTCAACTATTGAAACTTACTCCGATGAAGAAAACGATATAGGCTCTATGGATCCAAATCTGGTACAAAATGTTATTTCTTCTGAAACGGATCTTGACAATACCCCTAAACAGGTAGTAAATATCACTTCTGTTACATCTAATCTCAGCGAAATTGAGCAAAGCTCAGAATCTGCGTCATCTATCTGCACAGAAACTAAATTATTGGAGGATAGGAAGGTTGATGAATTTCTGGATTCAACGTATAAGGAAAAGATCAGTAACGAAATAAGAGAAATAAATCAGGAAAAGAAGTTCAGATCTCAAGACCCTTTATCATATGATAAAGATATTTCGCAATCTAATAAAAACAAAGTACAGAAAATCATGTTAGAAGTTTCTGAAAACTCTAGTCCGCAATTACAATATACCGATTCTATTATCTCCGAAGGAGGCACGGCTAATGGTAATGTAGATAGGGACGTGACTAGCAATACTAACTTTACACTTTTATATGAAAAACTTTGTGATGCAATAATTCTTGCTGATCGTAAAATCCAAGAATCTATCGTGTGTTATTGCCTATTTGGAAAGGCTCTTATTCAAAGACGTAATGAAATAGCATCGGAAAAACAAGTTGATCCAGAATCTAATATAGTTAGAAGAATTTTAAATAAAGAAGTGAAAGCTAAAGTATGGCGCCATAATTAGCCAATTATTACAATTATATTTATTACATACATTTTTACGCAGAGTTTTTTAAAACCATAATTGTAATAATATTTATTACATGTAATAATATTATTACATGTAGTAATATTATTATATGTAATATTATTTATTTAATATAAGAATATTACTACATATAATATTATTTATTTCATGTAAGAATATAACTATATGTAAAATGTAAATAGATTAGTTCTGCTCGATCAACACATTAGTCACGTGCATAACGTGCATCACGTGCACACTACAATTTGTTCGAAGACAAGTATCAAATTTTTTATATTTATTTTGTTTTATTTTTTTATTTTTTATTTTTATTACTTTCATAATAATATACTTCTTCCCTATAAATTATCTTCAAGTTTTAATGAAAGAAAAACTTTGGTTAGGGCGTACTATTTTAAAGATCCATATCAATTCCTAATTAAGTATGCACATTTTATCCCATTGAAATTTTATATAGGAAAAAAAAAAAAAAAAAAAACTAGTGTAAGGCGGGTCTACTTGACGTTTTAACTAAATTCAAGAAGAACCATCTTAAGAAAAAAAACAAAAAAAAAAACAAAAAAAAAAAGAGTAAAAAATAATAATTAGCTTAGGAAAAAAAAGAAAAAAAAAACTTAAAAAAAAAAAAAAAAAAAAAAGCCATTTTTCCTATTTTTCCGATGTCTTAATTTTTTTCAACATCTTATTTTTTTTTGACGTCTCAATTTTTTTGATGTCAATTTTTTTGATGTCTTATTTTTTTGGTGTATTTATTTTTTTCAATGTCTATTTTTTTGCCTATTTTTTTTGATGTAATAATTCTTTTTTTAAAAAAAAGATTAGTATCGATTTTTATTAATACCGAAACCAAAAAAAAAATGAATATATATAAAATAAAAGAAAAGCAGTAAAATTTAACCAAGTATCCGATTTTATATAATATATAAAATTATACACATTTTATTAATACGTATGTATTATAAAATATGTATTTTTTTATAACTAGTTTATATAAAGTTTTTTTAAACTAATTCACGTAACAACTTAGTTATATATGCAATTGATTTCACTATCTATTTTATTTTCGCTCAAAAAATAAATACAATTTGTAATAGTTAATTTTAATAGTATACTATTAATATACTATCTACTATCTACTTATCTAACTTGTAATTTTTTTCATTAGGGAAAAAATTCATCAACTACGCTATCTAAATCATAATTTGGTTCTTCATTTACTACATTTTCAGAATTTAATTCAATATTATCATTCGGATTTAATCCTCCAAAAATTTCATGATTTAAATCAAATATTTCTTCCAAATACAAAAGATCATCTAATGATTTGAATTCTACTTCATCATCTTCATCAAAATCATCACCAGAATCGTCATCAGAATTGTCACCATCTAACTCTCCAGTTTCTTCTGCTACGGCTAATATATCTTCCAAAGTAAGCTCACGATTAATAAAGAAATTTCCTCTTTGGCATGAGTTGTATAATATCGATAAATTTTGGCCAATGCTTCTAATTTTCCAAATGCTAATCGAGTTCTTTTTTTTCCATAGATCCATCCTAATGTTGAAAAAACTCTTTCACAAAAAGCAGAATGTGGAGTAATGAAAGAAATTTGGCTGCTAAAGTAGGAAGATGATTGTAAACATCTTCAATTGTTTTTCACCATGTTTGTGGTGTCTGGCAATCAGGTTCAAATGGTTCATTAAAAGGTGATTCATTTTCTTTGTAAGAAGTAAGCTGTGCCAAAAATTGCCGAAGAGAGCTTTCTTTACTATCAAAGGCACTCCACAATATACCCATATATTTTGCTATTTTTTTGTATTGGCCTTTTTTAAAACCGCAACCTAATATAAAAATAAATTTTAAATAAATATAAAACACATGATATTTTTTCAAGATATTTAGCAAAAAAAATTAACCATTTTTTACCTCTAAATTTTGGATGCAAAAAATATGCCAAGTAATATATTTCATCGTTAAATTCTAAAAGTCGTCGATTGATAGAGGTAATGCAATATCTTTGAAAAGTAATATGTTGGTCTTGTGATATTCTATAAATTGTAGCTGCTAATTTAATCAAGTGAACAAAACAGTTAGCTAATGTTGAATCCCAGCTTTCAAGTTGAACGATTGACTCTTTAATAGGTCGAAAAAATGGTAGTCATAAATAATAACTCATTATAAAATGAACCACAATTTAAAATCGTATATACTTCATTACTCAAAATAATATCTGGGTCATGTTCTAAGATCTTTTAATAAATATTTAAATAATTAGTATTCTGTTATAGCAAAATCATTAAGCTAATAAAAAATTAATTAACCTACTTGAATAAATGCAACTTTTAAACGTAATAATGAGTAAATTGTATCATAATAACTTGACTAACGAGTTGTTACATAGCGTTTAATTCCTCCACCTACAATATTATTAACTTGAATTTCATGTTCAAGTGCAGAATTAGCTATATGAGATGATTTAAAAAATTGAGCAACTAATGTTGCTTGTGATAAAACACATTTTGCAAACGGTTCTTTCATAATATCTATACAGATAAGATTTAGCCGATGGGCTATACATGATATATTCATTATATGAGGAAATTTTTGTGTAATTAATCATCTTACGGCTGCAATATTTGCGCCATTATCACTAACCACCACACAAATTTTTTTAGTTCCAATTTTAGTAACTATTGTTTCAATTTCTTTTGCAAGAAATTCTGCTGTATGACAAGTATTTGAATAATTACGTAAAGCATATAAATGCTCTTTTCGATCAGGTATTAAAAGTAAAAAATTCCAAATTGATCTGCCTCGTGGATCAGTCCAACCATCAAGTGCTATTAAAAAATATGTGTAAATTAAAAATTATATTATATATTAATATATAAAAAAAATTTTTTTATACTATACCAAGTGTAATATAATTTGTATTTTGTAGTTCATTTTCTATCTTTGCTTCTACACGAACAATTTGTTTATCAAAAATTCTTCCTGCAAGTACTTTTGGACTAGGTATTTTAAAACCTAGTCTTAGATCTTGAAGCCATGCACGAAAAATTTCATTTCCAGCAACATTAAATGAAACACCCGCACATGCAAATGCAAGACACATTCCATTTTCAAGTTGTTCTTGCCTTTTTAAAGACAATTCTTGATTTTCTACATAGTTAAGAATACTATCCTTATTTTTAACATCTACTTTTCGTTTCTTGGCTGATTTTTGAATTTCTTCATAATTAGTTAACTGTTTAAGATAATAAAGTTGCACTTATAATGGAGCTTCGGGACAATCATGTGCAATATGCATTTTAAAAACTGATATATCTCCCTGTGCCCACTGTTGTGAACAATATTTGCAACTAGCTAAATAATGTCCACTTTTTTTTTTTTCTATTTGATTGAAATGATCCCAAATAGGATGAAAAGGTCTACCAACTGTTTTTTGTTGCTTATTATTACTAGCACTTCCTGAACTATAAGTTGATGTAGATTCTTCTTTGATATTATTAGGTGAAGACATTATTGAACAAAAAAGATTATCGATAAAATCTAAATGTAAAATTTTTATGTTAATCATCATTGTATTAGTAATCGAACTTATCTAAAAAATGCTACTCGGGTCCCTGATCAGTAATCCAGGTGAGTATTACGTATATCTGATATAATATGAATTACCTAAATAAAGTAATCGCTAGTATATTTATCTTTTCCAGCCTTTATTTCGCTAAAATAACAAAATTTAAAATTAGATCTCTATTAGAACTGACTCTGCTAGTAGATTTCTAATGATTAATAAATACCTTAATATTCATCCTTTACTATTTTAATTTCTCTTTAAACAACTTCTAAGCCTAATCGTATCTATGCCATTCCATTTGTAGACGTTTGAGATGCCTTTAAATTATTCTTTAATGCCAGTTCTTTTTTGACAGTAATATTTAATATTAAATTCCATAAGATTGTATTATTAGATCTTTAATAATATTCGAATGTCTTAAATTTGTCTTTCTCAACTCCATTCTATTTACTAAAATTATACATTCCAACAGCAGCATATTTAAACGTTTAGGCTTATAGTTTTTCACAAAATTCAAGACCAAATGTTCTATAAATATCTTATATGTCTTATACCTCACTATTTCCATACTAGTTTCTTTATCTATAGCATTCCACGTAGTAATAGTATTTGAATCACAATTCCAATTTCATGACTAATGTTAAATATTCGTTCTTCAACTTATATCCCATATTAAAAACAATGACCAACGTTAATATTTCTCATTTCAGTATACTTTTAATAATAGTAAACTTGATTCATCCTTTTCCATCTTAATTTCTTCTTGATAACAATGTCTAATATTGTTTATTTATTTCTACTTTCATTATTTTTCTTTTTACTACATTATCCTAATGATATCTTTATTATAGCCTCGCCTTCAATCACAACTCACACCTGCACTTACAACTCATGGCTACTACAACGGCAAGGAATTAATTTTATCTTACTGCGAAGAGAACTTATTTTAACTTGCTATTTCCTTATTTTATATTTATATGTGACTTTTTACTATATTTTGCTATTTTTTACTACAGTGCATGATTACAAATATGGTAAAATAATAAACTCCGCATGCATAAACTAAACTTAGAGAAGGGCTTATCGCTGCATGTGCTTAATTGTTACGTGACTAATATTATAAAAATCATATTGGATGTCAGTGTTTTACATAAGTTATAATATGTGACAATTAAGCATTATGCAGCAATAAGGTGCATGATGCCTATCTCTACTGATCTAACTGATACGTATTACTAACGCTAATAAATTTTGCATTAAAAAATTTCACTGATCTAACCGATATATCTCTAATCAACTATGGCTACGTATTGTATTTATTAAATTCATTACACTTTTTATTGCGCAGACATATCACATGTTCTCAATAGATGCTACAATTTCAACCAAGGAAAAGTGAAGATAAAAATAGTTAATGTGAGCTTACTATATTATTATATAGAATATGTACGTACAGTATTTATCAGTTATACTAGTACAATCATTATACATATGTATATAATAATAAATATTATATAAGACAATAATTATTACATATAGTAAAATTATTACTTGTAATAATTGTAATAATAAATACTACTTGTAATGATAATTTTACATAGTAAAATATTATTACATGTAATAATATTTACTACATGTAATAAATATTATTACAATTACTCCTTTTTGTAATAAATAATTTTTACATTATTACATCTTGCAGTTTGAATTATGGCGCCATTCATTAAGTTGGGAGTGTTGGGCACAATAACTTCAACTGTCCACAATGTGTCGGGAGAGTTGAAAAACCACGGCAGTCCTCAGTCCGTCAAGAATCAACCGGAAAACAATCTTCTTC